ATTTATTTTAAAGTAGGCCTGTGTATTATTTGTAATTCTCCTTATAGGAGTTCTTTGTTTCTTATTAGAGGTTAACAGTTGTATATAATGTAATAAATAGCCTAATAAATGCAAAAAAACTGTTGTTTTTGTCTGATATAACAATAAATACAACTTTACTATGAAATATGTTTTGCGGCTCCAGACAAAAACATTTGGGGGAAAAAGGAGCAAAATGGCTCTTTTGGTCAAAAAGGTTGCAGACCCCTGCCCTAGAGCAATATACAAGCAAAAACACATCCCATAATGCCACATGCTACTAGGAACCGGATTTGAGGTGGAGTGAAAGTGATAATTAGATTGGGTCTAAACATTTTGGGTAGTAAATCTGCCACTGGTGTCACAATACACTGCTTTAGTGCCATGCTGGAATAGCAACAGTAACTAAGGGAGGCCTGCTTCTTGTCAATTAGTTCCAGCCCTCCAAGAGAGATGTTATTATTATTGAGAGTGAACCTCAAAAACTCAAATATATTTGTTTCCTCTTACCTGTAATCCTCTTCATAGATATCTACCAAAGAGATATCTGCCTCCATAACATATAATGGAAGCACTCAGATTTGATGAATTATTAAAAAACTTAACAGCCATGTATCTTGCTTTGTGAGTTTTTCCTTGTAAAAAGGATTTCCTTACTATGGAACTACTTGACAACCATATCACTGCGCAAAAGGGGATCTGAGAGTAAAAGAGAAGCTCATCCGGGTGTCGTTTGGTAGAAAGAAAATAGTTCCTTCACATGTCTTTGGATTATCTTGAGTAACCAGGAAATTAAGTAAGAGTTTTCCAAATGTATGTTTTTGAGCATAAGCCAAGTCTAGTTCCATTAAATTCAAGAGCTCCACAGCCAATACCTCCAACCCCAGCTACTAACACCAAAACACGTGGGTTTGCTATCCTGGCTCCAAAATGGTGGAATGAGCTCCCCATTGACATCAGGATAGCAGAAAGCTTACACATCTTCCGGCGCAGACTGAAAACTCATCTCTTTCGACTCCACTTCGAGCGATAGAACTACTAACAAAGCACTTATATACTAATAAAGGGCTGGCTTATCTAAAGCCAGTTGAGTAGCACTTGAAATGTTTTGGCTCTATGAAACCTGATGTACTTATATGATTCTGTTTTCTTCAAGTTTGTACTTTGTTGGTCGAAGGCACTTATTGTAAGTCGCTTTGGATAAAAGCGTCAGCTAAATGCAATGTAATGTAATGTAAAGACAGTCTTCATTTCAAAATGATAACCTACAGGTGTACGAGAAAAAACCTCTATGTGTTATCACAGGGTTAGCTGTTCCTTTGATCTTTCATTTTTAAAACATATCAAAATGTTAGTAGGACACCGTGCTGGACCCTGTCTGTGGTCCGTGAGCAGGGTGAAGATAGAAGCCCCTGACCTAGATGGTACTTCTTGGGAATAAGATTATTAAAGGCTAGCAGGGCTTAAGTCGTCTAGGCGAGGCTCAACTGCTAAGAGACGAAACAACACATGCACGCGCACATAAACAACACCAAACACATGTAAGGCGGCAGATGGAGGTGCTTGTTCAGGTACAAATGTACTCCTACAGCGCTTTTATCAGCCGTCCTCTCACAACGGTGGAAACGGGGTTGGACTGATATGATCTTTAAGTGTAAAGGCCTCTGGGAAATGGAGGAACGACTTACTGCACCACTCCTGACTGCCACATAAGCACCTCCTGAGCTGTAATTTATAGGCAGATGTAAAGCACTTTGTGAAGTTTCAAACTAGTGCCTGCAAGGTTACTTCCTGCCAAAGAGTAACAATGTCACTCGGATGAGAAATAGCACCTGGTAATATACGGCAGAGATTATAACACTCCATTATTCTAGGTAGGTGAGACTGGAGTGAGTGGTGGCTGTGTGTGTGTCCATCTATAAGTGTATTCACTCGTACACCCCAACTCTGAGGGCTCTTAACTTAAAGTGTACCGTATATAGTTCTGGCCTTAATATATATGTAATTTTAAGCAATATATTTTTGATTAAATTGTCAGTGTGCTCTTACAAGATGCATTACATAACCAAGCCTTTAACAAACTTTACACACTACTACACTACTTCAGGATGAGTGTGATATTCATTTAGTTTGCATCACAGCACTATCAAATGTGCCTTTTTACACTTTTGCAAGGCATGCATTATATATATTGTCACACACACACACACACACACACACACACACACACACACACACACACACACACACACACACACACACACACACACACACACACACACACACACACAGTAAACAGAGCTGGGGGAGTCTGCCAAACAGAGGAAGCCAGGTGTCAATCAAGTGTCAGGGCAACCAGAGGAGAAGGATATCAGGTCATGGGTGAGACTATAAATACCCTGGCCCACCTTGGAAGTCAGAGTGACACACACACACATGCACACACGCACGCACACACGCACACCAGTGAGAGTGGTGTGACCCTGAAGTCTAAGTAACGTCAAACTTGTTTCTACAGTGGTCTGTGATCAGCCTTTTCATTATTCTCACAGACTTCAAGCTCCATTCAGATGGGACCTCTTTCTTTCCTATGGGGGAGGCTGGGTCATTTCAAATGTAAATGTGCTGATCAGTGATTTCAATCCGGTCTGGAGATCTCATGTCTGTCGTTTTTTTTAGCACAACTGTTGGTTTTTCTTGTGTTTTAAAGATTATCACTGAGTTTTAAAGCTTGTACCTACTTCTGTTTCCTGGTTTCATTCTTTCCCCCCCTTCAAAATACCCCGGTTTAATACAATTAACTCCTGAAATGTGGTTCTGGAGTAATGATGACCTTGGTTGAACAGTATGAAAACCATTTTATAATCCACCTCCTCAGCTATTAGTTCTTTTTATATTGAGCTATAAAAACACAAAACAGATATTGGCATGTCCCGTTTAGGACTGTTGATTAAAAACTGTTGATTAAAAACTGTTGGCAAGCACCTTGTAACTTTCTCAAGTACTCAGAAACTGCAAGATTGCAAGAAAGACCATGCACTCTCAAAACATGACTTAAGTGACCTGTTTTGTGCTTAGTCAATGATTTGGCAATTATGAAATCATGTTTTCCACCTACAAAGATTCCAATGCAAACGTACTGTATATCTGAAATTGGTAAATGCTCTTTTTTATCAGAAAAAATGAAAAGGTTTTAAATCATTTTTACCAAATCATGTTTTTATAGCTTAGAGACTACATCATGTTTCATTTATCTGATTGATGAGTATAGAAAGGAAAGGAGAGGAGAAGAGAAACAGGAAAATAGAGGAAGGGAGGAGAGGAAGAAAGGAGAGGACACAAGAGAAGAGAAAAGGAGGGAAGAGGAGAGGAGAGGAGGTTTGGCTCCAACGGGTGGATCGTAGAAAGGGTTCTCCTAACACATGCAAACCCTTTTTGACCTACTTCCTAAAGACTGATGGCCTACAGCGTAGCAGAATCAGCTGTCATGGCAACATGCACTTCACATCTCAGCACGAATCATCATCATCATGATTATCATTATCATCATCATCATCATTATCAATGGCGCTCTGTGGCTAGGGGAGAAACAAGGGAACATGCCGTTCCAGTTGATCTAGTCATTTGTGGGAGGCTCATGCACATGGAACACATGGAGTGGAGCGATGAGACCTAAGAAAAGACTCTGGCAGAGCAATGTAGTTATGTCATGTGTGGAGTCATTCTCCTGCTCCAGCTGACACACCACCTCCACCTGAATGCATGGCAGCAGGCAGCGGAGGAGAGATGTGGAAACAAAACAGTGGAGACTGTGTGAGGGCGACCAAAAAAATTAAAAACAGGGAGGGGGGTTTAAAACAGAAGGGAAGAGGAAGTCATACTTTGGGCAACGGCGTTTCGGATGACCGGACATTCTTGGGAGATATCTGTGAAGAGAGCAAGAGAATTATTTTCTTGTTTCCCCCTCTTCAGAGATATCTCCTGTGGCATATTGCTGTTCGCTCTTACAGGACTTATATGGATGTCTGATCATGTGTTTTCCTGTCAGCAGCACCTGTAAGTGGTTCCTCAGAGATTTATGAATAAGTGATGATTAATACTGTATGCTCGCAATGGTGCTTTTAGTCATTATATTTGGTAAAATGCAACCTAGTTCTGCAGTGCTTTGTGTCAACTTTCAACATCAAAACATAGAAATTAGTTTATCATTTTGTGTAAAAGTGGGAGCTAATTGAAACAGAAAAGGTGTAGCAGGTGTTGTAACACACCCCGAAAAGGTTTGCAGATTTGAAAGCTGAAGGGCAGTGGGTCACACATGCAGTATGATGGGACCACAGACAGCACAATGGAGGATATAAAACACCACAATTTGAGCAGTGTGAAGACCCATGAGGCATAAAACAACCTCATATCAAGAGAAGGGCTTCATATGTTCTGCTACAACCCAGTGAGAATTGTAGAGAACCTTAGGAGCATTTATATCAAACACTTTGGTGTGTAAATGAATGTAATTAGAAAAAGGCCCTTTTTTCAGTGGGTCAAATGTGTCGATGTGATATGTTAAGAAGAACCAATGAACAACAACACATCAGAGGAGACACTCAGAAGGTTCAGAGACAAGGGGAGACACGCAAGCACAGTCAGTGTGTGTGTGTGCGTGTGTGTGGGGGGGGGTGGGTTAGGGGAAGAAATCACACAGCCAAGAGGAAATAAACATCAGTCTGCATTAGGGTTTCTGAGACTGTGACATTGTGTAATGGAAAAGTCCAATGAGTTGTTGCCTTTAAAGCTGCATTATGCAATGGATGCCCAGCAGGGGGCAGGACGTCTATGGGTATATCTAATTTTTAAGGCTAATGTGGTTGTAAACATGTTGTATACAGCAAAGAAAAGAAAATATGATATGATAATGATATTGAATACATGTTTTTGTCCACCTGGCGAATGTAGAACGTCATAAGTCCCTCAAAAAAAATCTAGGTCATGTTTTCTGGCCTATGGTTTCATCTCTAATGATTTAAAAAATATGCAGTTATTTATGACATGCGCATCTTTTTGTCTTTGTGTTGATAGTTAGAATAGTAAGGTAGTGACAACATAGAAAACTGCTAAACCCATTCAGTGGGATAATAGAATGTGGATATTCAGTTTAACATTTGCTCCTACTTGTTTTAATTTTAACCCTAAACAAAAAGTGCTTTTTAGGATAAAAGATTTACAGAATTAATGCAAATCAGTCACGTAAGCCCCCACCGTTTTCGTACAACAATGACCTAAAAAACTCACAAACTACGCTGAACAATTTAGACTGATAAATACGGGTGAGGGGAAAATATTATAATTTTTTTATTTTTGGGTGAACTGTCAATTTAAAATCACAAAATGGCTTAATGCAGGTTTAAAGCATGGACAATGATATGACTATAACTGTTTATATACTGCATAAAGTGGCCAGATGGCACTGGAGAATAATCTATTCTGCCTCAGAGGAAATACAACTGAGTGTATCAGGTGGCGGATGGAGGGGTGAGAAACAGCGACATTGATGTGAAACATAGCTATACAAAGGGAGTAGCAAAGACAGAAAAGAACAGTGGTACATTTCATAAAGACAGAGAGCACAGGGATGTGGGCGAGAGTGGTGTAAAACGAAAGGAGGGAAGTAAGCTAGTAGACAGGAAACGCTAAGGACAGTGCTCAGGCTTGATGCCCTCTGTCCTTTCACACTCTACCTTCATGGGTGCCAGCTGGATGGGGGTGATGTAGGAGGGGTCCACCATGGGCTTAGGGCGGTTTGCAGTGTCTGCCAGGAGGCTCTGCCATTGCTGCGGCAGACCGGTGAACTTCTGCTCCCGCGGGTCGAAGCCCGTGTGGACCCGGTGCTCAAAGTTAGACGGAGCTGAGATCTCCAGCCGTTTCTTCTTCTTCCCAAACATGCTGGAAAACCCTGGCAAACCTGGAACATAAAGAAGATAGCCAGAGATTAAAATGATGACTAAAGTATCTGTCCGTAATGAAATAAATACTTAGATGAAACCCATGGCCTTGCCTACAATGTTGTCAATTGTACAAGATTTTGCCTTTAGCACTTTTCATTCATTCAAATCTAACTCTATATGGAAGGTGTGACACTACTTCAGGATGAGTGTGATATTCATTTAGTTTGCATCACAGCACTATCAAATGTGCCTTTTTACACTTTTGCAAGGCATGCATTATATATATTGTCACACACACACACACACACACACACACACACACACACACACACACACACACACACACACACACACACACACATGATAATTTGATATTTAAAACCTGCCTCCACAAACAAACCTGAAATAGCTTGATGAAAGTGTTCATTTTGTTTAAAAGTAAAGAATACTTTGTATATTAGTGTATATAGTTGTCTAAATATGGCTCAGGATATTTAAACGTCTCCCCAGCCTTTCAATCTAATGCTCATATTTACAGATTTTCTAACATAGAAGAAAGACATCACATTGTAAAGCAAGAAAACATAAGGATAACTGAACTGATAATCATCCTGGTTATCAAAAAGTTGGAACTAATCGATTTAGCTTCCTATCCTTCTGAGGTGCACAGTTGAGGTCTCCCACATAAGTCTTACTGATAGGCTGTTACAACCAGTTTTAAACTGATGTTTTATCTTTTGCTGTGCTGTTATATACTTTGCTGTTCAGTATCATATCAAGTTTAGCCTTCTAATAATGCAGGATATAAACAAGGTGCAAACATGTTTCTTTGTTTATGTAACATAAACATCAGAAATTAGGATTGTGTTTTTTTATGTCAGGTTTGATAGTGATTTAGATACAGTGTGTAGCCATGACACGTTCTTCTACTCCACCCCCAAGAGGCTGCTTTTAAGTCCCATTGTGGTATTGGATGTTTTGGTGGATGCACCATGTCCAGTCATAGGAACAAAATGTCATGATGTTGTTGGTGTGGATGTGAATGGAGACTATTGTGTTGTTTCTATCTACGAGGCATTGTGCTCAGAGAAAACAAAGTCATCCTTCGCCCTCCCCTCCTTCCTTTTCTCTCTCTCCCCTTCTGTTTTTGCACAGATAATGCTTCCTGTGCTAGTCCATCTCAAACATTCATTTATTTACATATTCACTAAAGAAAACACATTTGAAGGTCTCAGTTAAGCCACTTGAAGAATTACCATCAAGATTAAAAAGTATGGCAGCCTTGAATATGAAATGTTTTATTGTATTTAGACTGGCTGTTATTGTACAACAAAATACAGTTCAAGATATCTCAAGCGGGCTAATAGCTAAGCAGACAATAGTGTCTGTTGTTGGTTGGAATGAAACCAATATAGGTAGTAGCATTAACACACTAACAGATGAAGTTAGCTAGTTTGTGTGCGCGAATGCTAACGCTAACACCAGTAAGTTGGTTTCATGCCCATACGTTTTTACAAAACCCTTTAATGGTGTATTAAATACACACATAATGACTCAAACCTATATATGACTACATCACTTATCTTACAGTTCCAGAAGAGAGGAGAATATACTCACCAACTGATTATCTAAGGATAAATTAAGGAAGCATTGTTTGTGTATTTCAGTGTAACGCTTGTGAACGCTTGCATTACAGAAGGCTAGATTATTTAAAATGGAAATGTAATGTATATGTTTGACCACAACCCTTGCATTTTTGCTAACAATAAAAAGAGTCAGAAAAAAAACAAAAAAACAAATGATAATATAGTGAGCCACATAGGCCTATTCCCCTTGTCTTTCAGAGTAACACTACTGTACTACCTCTACAACTACTACTACTATTAATAGTACTTTTACTACTACTAGACTACATGTGGTAGGCCTAGTCTAATTAACCTAGCCAGGAATGCTAACATTTTCATCTTATGCTAGAGCAAATTTAAACGCAGTTTATTCCATTCCTCACGCTTTTTGTTCCTGTAGTTTTGATTTGAAAATGCCTGAAAAGGGAAAGTCTCTCAAGTATTTTAACATACAGATTCATCCCGTAAACATTAACGCATCTTTGTGAGAATTAGCAGACGATTTAGCAATTAGCCGATTGTCAAAAATACATTACAAACATGCTGGTCCGTTGGTAAAAAGGTGTCAATGAAGTCAGTGGGCTCAGTTTTAGTCGTGTAAATGATTAACTGTTTTAAATCGGCAGGCAGTGCTGACTCTTTGCAAAGACAGAAGTCACCAAAGAGTCCATTTCTAAATGTAACTACAAGCAGACAAAGCAAAAATGTAATCATGGTAATCTCTTTCAATCATTTCCCTTGCTGCCCTGCAGGAGAGCCAGCAGACAGACTAAATGAGTGGTCTCAAACGGGAAAGATGGAGAGATAGATTGATGGGAGAGGGAGAGGAGGGGGAATGGGCTGAAGCAGAAGATGAAAACAGAAGTGAAGTGAAGTTGGAAAGTAAGGAGGGATAGACAAATGAATACTAAAGAGTAAAGAGTCACGGAGAAAGAATGGAGGCTGAGAAGGCTTCGAGGTGCATACAGAAGCACACACATAGCACAGAAAGTTCAATATTGGATCAAAAAGGTGTTAAGTCATAGATAGAAACCTTGTGCCACGGGCATGTTTACACAGCTCTGCTTTCTACGCTGCATTTATTGTAAGCCCTGGTTTACACTGACTCAAGACTCGAGGATGTATTGCACCCATGTAAGGAAGAATATCTTTGTCATCAAATCATTCTTTGTTGTTGAAACAACAGATAAACATGTATTATTCAAAGGAAACCATTACAAATCACCATGATGTGATCTAAATTCAAGTATGCAAAAACATATTATTGAGTATAATATTAAAATGAAATTCCATATTTAAAAAAGGACCATAACAGCCCTGATCTTACAACTTCAATTACTGACATTTATGCGAAAGGTAATTTGTGAATCCTTCCTGGTGGTGCGTTCAGGTGCTGAAGTGAAGTTCTGAAAACGGAGCTTCATCATTCAGCTGTCATTCAAAAGCAATGAGGTTTGGATACTAAAAAACGTACAAATAATGATCAAACATAATTGATGTAAAGCTGTAAAAACGTGTCAGATTGATAGGCTGTAAAAAGTCTTATCTATGTCCGACATAGAAATCAGTCCTAGGTCAAAGTGGACCTATCATGCTATATTTGAATAATATAGTGTAGGACCATACCTATATAAGGCATATTTAGAAGTCATAGAAGTGTTCAAATCTGGATCAGTCTGTATCAGATCCGTTGCAGCCCCTTTTTAAGAGATTTGGGTATGGAGGGAAATAGAGAGGGTTGTGTTTTCTGACACTTGGTGAGTTCCCTGGAACACCGGGGACACATATACATGTATAAAAGACGTACAAAAGTGCATCTTCCATGATAGGTCACCTTTAAAGTATTGTTTATTTGAGTGATCTAAATGTTGAAAGGTACAAATGAAAAAGGAAAAGTTAAATATGGCTGCATGCTATTCAAAATGGCTCTATTGGCAAACATCGGGAAGAGAGCTTGATAATGACAAACACATAATGGCTCTTTTTCCTGGTATATCACATTGTCTAATTCACACGATAAACAATGACTTCCACACAGGTATCCTCCCTAATTGGCCAGCAAAAACAAAAGCCTAACAATCCTTAGCTCTCATCTTTTCTATAATGTGCTGAATCTCTTTTGAAAAGCAAACATGTCAGCAACTCTTTCCCCTTTTGGCTGATGTCCACCTAAAGCTCCGGAAATCGACCCAAGGTTTCCGACCTTGTTACTATTTTGAGAGCGTGTACACAAAGTGGATGCTGCAAGATGAAACACTGACATGTACACATTATGCTGATTAGATATGACATTCCCAAAAACAATGTCACTAAAGACGACGTCAAGGATGAAGCTGAACAACAGCTCAGACAGAAGGCAACGCTCAAATGTTTTGTAAATAACGGCTACAGAGTTTCCGTCTGCAGTCAGAAACACACGGTGACTAAACAGGGCCTGATCGCAGCCTTGCACTGAATCATCAGCTGACACATTCAGTAGCTGAAGCCCTTGTTACCCTAGAGCAGGGGTCGGCAACCCGCGGCCCACGGGCCGCATGCGGCCCTTTAAGCCCTCTGCTCTGGCTCCCTTGAGCTTAGACAAAAATAAGAAGGAAATAAAGTACTTGTAGGACTATTTATATTTTGTTGCACGGTTCAAAATGTTTCGTATCTTGTATTTTGAGGTGATACTGTGACACATAAATAAAAAACAAAACGGTTTTAATTAGGTCAACTAAAATATGCGTCACATCCTGCTAAGGTCCCGCGCGAGCGCCTTTTCTTGGAGGCGCTCGCGCGGGGACCCCCGGCTCGATGAGCGAACTATGGATAAATCAAAGAAAAGTACCGGAGGAACACAGGATTTAATTCTGTGTGGACAGAGTTATATGCTTTCACAGCGAACGATGCTGGTTTACCGGTATGTTTGATATGTAGAGAGAAGTTGTCAAAGGTGCTGCAGCCTTTGAGGAACAACACGGGAGAGGAAGACAGCTGACAATCTTCAGTCATAATTCAATGGGGTATGTAATTTATTTCAGAAAACACTTTTTGTTATATTCCATGGAATGCTCTTAACGTCCCGATAGCAATGAATATATTAAATGCTTTGACAATAAATACATACAAAAATTCATCTCTGGAAGCCGTAGCGCTGTAAAAAGCACGACCAATCATTTTAGCCGACCCGGCTAAAATAACTGGATGGCCTACCTGCCTGTCAGCCTTCCATCTCTGTTCCATCTGTGCACAAACTTATCTCGTGCTCATTGGTCATGTGTGCGTTCGTGTGTGTTGGAGGAGGGGATCTGTGAGGAAGTCTGAAGGAAGAGGCATATTTTTTCCGGTTGTGTATTTTCAAATTCTAGCGCACTCGAGCTGGTTTCTCCATTCTTACCTACCCTACCTTTAACTCTTT